CACCCTCACGTTGCTCACAGGTGGAGAAATGAAATAGTCTCTGACACATTTATTTTTAGTTCGTTTGGTTGGTTGTTAGTAATCCAGGATTGCTCTTAATCTGTGTAAATTCAGCCTGCTTAATTCACAAAACACGGCTTCATTGTCCTAATGGTCAGGTAGTAATGAATGTAGGTTATATAACAATATTATTGCGTTGCATTCTGTGATTATTCTCCACATCACTGTCACGTTTGGATGATAATCTGTCCTGCTGAATGGGTTTTGTGTGTGTAATGTGTGTTTCTCCTGATGTTCGGTGTACCGCTGTGCACTTTACACCGTCTCTCTCTTACTAAAGAGGAGGATCTCTGCTCTCTTTACATCTATTTACAGGGATTTGAAGCCAAGGGCATTATGCCATCAACTTTAGACACAGATAACATAAAACCGGTCAAACGCACCCAAATCCATGCAACTATTAAACAGGCTTTACGAGTTTACCAGACATCTTGTATGTACATATTTTTCAATCTTTTGGGTTTTAATTTATTTTGGTAATTCGTTTTCACTGGACTGCTATTTTTCTCCTTCCCTACTTTGCTGTACATAAGGAAGTCTTGTAAAGAAATGAATTCTTGGCATCCCTATAGCCGACACTATGCAGAATCGCATTTCCTTGGCATGCTTCGAAATGCAGAAAATAAAATAAAAATACTGTAGAGGAAAACTAAATATGTTTGATTTCTTTCTTTCTGTCTTTCTTTTTTAAATAAACATGTGAATAGCTCTGTTAATAATGATGTAAGTATCATTTATTATATAATAGCCTATATATATATATATATATATATATATAAAGGTAATAACAAAGACAGATTTAACTCATGCACACTTTATCTGCATGCTGCACGAATCATGTTGAAACGAGCTGACGAGATCGGACAGACTTCAGAAAGTCTTGATTGTGTGCTAGCGTTATACACGGTTGACTTTACAAAGTTTAAAAATATTTATTTCAATAAACTTCTTTGAAAACAGCTGAAATTACGGTGCTTTTCTCTTTTTTTAGTTATAAAGCATATTATTATAGGGAAAATTTCATGAAACTGTCACCCCCCATTTTTTTTAAATAGGCAATAAAGTGCACCATCCAAACTTAAATTGTTGTAATTTATGAACACTTTGGAATACAGACCTAAAGTGGTCTCTTTATTAAAGAAGAAAATCAGCAGATTATTGCAAAAGTGGAATTTTTTCAAAAAAAATTAAAGTATCAAAAAGTTATAGACGTTTACATTTACTGTAAAGAAAATGCGCTATACTAATTTTATTTTATTTTATATATATAGTAAATATTTTACATAACAGGTTTTACTCTAAAATTGGTATAAAATTAAAGCCTTGTGTCTAAATAAGTTATGTTCCAAATTTGAAGTTGATATGAAAAAAATGGAGGTTCCTGTGAGATTTTATTCAGGGTGTTATACCACAAACAGCCACTGGGTGCCATCCAAACTCCATTGAATTTGTTTATGCATTTTTCTGTCACAAATGTCTAGATTTCTCTGTCAATATTACTTCTATCTCAAAATCCAGGAATCCTGAGACTCAGACCTTTCCAATGATATGTATTTTGTCAAGATTATAAAAAGTTTTGATTGTAAAATACCGTAATACATTTTGTAATATGACACTTGACACCGCCCACTAAGGGGGAGGAGACCGCCAAAAGATTTTAAAGTACCATTTCCATGGTAACGCAATGTCCGGTTTCAAAATGGTTTTCACAGGATGAATCTTGGGCTTCTAAGCTTTCAAATAATACATAATTTATGATGATTACTAAAAGATTTCATAGAGAAAAAGGACAACAACAAAAAAGAGTGCCAAACGTCCCACAGGTGGGACGGTGACAGTTAAGGGGTTAATTAATCATTAATTTGATCATGATGATGTAGGTGATTATTGTGATTAGTAATAACTATATGCACCTTTCCACCTGATCTTTTGTATTTGAGATGTAAAACTAACTTACATGACATTTTAAGTTTAAAAATAAATTCATTTTAAAATCAATTAAATTAAATTAAATGTTATCGGGTCTAAAAGTCTCAGTACAAATAAAAAAAAAATTAGCATCTAAATTAAAGTTTTATTTTAAGTCTTGAACAAAGACAGCTGCAGTCATTTATGAAAATTCCTTCCTTCTGAAATCCCTAATATTGCTTAGAGGGAAAGATATTTAAGGTTTGTTTGTTACAGTAACACTTTACCACGAGGCTCTATTTGTTAACATTAGTTAACATGAACTAAAAATAAAACATACGTGTAAAGCATTTACTAATCTCAGTTCATATTAATATCAACACTTACATTAAAATCCAAAGTTGTATCTGTCAATATTAATTGACCCGAGCTAACATGAACTAACAATGAACCGTTGTAGGCTACTTTAATTCATTTAGATTAACATGGATGAATAAATAATTGAATGAATGTATTGCTCATTGTTAGTGCTTGTTGCATTAATTAACGTTAACTAATACACCTGTAAAATGTTACCACGTTACTGACACATCTGCAGTTATTAAAAAGCAGTCGTTTTTAATAATCAGGTGGATTGTGCTCTCATCTTTGTGCAGATAATCATACACCAAATCCATTAATAAACACATTTTATTTATAGAAACTCACATTAAGCCAGCATAAAACAGATTAAGCTGTTTAGGTTGATTTCTTCATGCAGTGATCTGGTTATTGTTTAGTTATGCAAACAATATTACAGAGTACGTGAGTAAAAATACAAATGTGGTGGGTTTTGTAATTTTCTAATTAATATTTCAAATTCATGAGAGCAAATTTAACTTAAAACTTCATATTATATTGTATTATATACATAAATCGTTTCAGTCTTTTAAAATTATTTAGGATTTATGCATTTGCAATGAGGTCAGTAACTGATAAATTACTGAACAGATAAAATATTACAATAAAATAACTAAATAATAATAAATAAAATAAAATATCTGAGTGAAAGTAAGGTTTTTATTTGATTGATTTTCATTGGCTCGCCATTGGCCCGTATAAGGAGTCAAACTCACTGATTGGACGAGCCGCGTGTCTATCAAAAGTGCGCTAGTTGGACAGGCGGCATCAGTCGCGGAGACGCCCCGTCCGCGTCGTGATTGGACGACACCGCTGTCCGTCTATCCTTACTGGCCTGCGATTGGCTGAGAGTGTCAGAGGGCGGCGACGTGCGCGTGCGGTCAGTGAGTGAAGAGCGCAGGGCGGATCAGCGTGAGGCCGCGACACCGACACACGCGCGGAAAACTCTCGGAAATCAACGGAATCGGTGAGAATAAACTCGTTAAAGTGTGTTAACTCTTCTTCGCGGTTAAGTCGGTACGTAGAAAGTGTGACGCGGGAATTGGCGCCGAGGGCGGTTTGCGCGGGTCAGTGACGCGGCTGAAGTGAGTGACAGTTACAATCACTGCGATTTGACACGAATCAAATCAGATTTATTGATTAAGATGATTTATCAGACCTGCTGCTGATTTCAGGTCAGTTCAAGCCTGAAACTGTAGTTTTTGATTTGATTCGTGTGTGTATTTGTGAGTAAAGTTGTCCTTGATTGTGTTTGTGTGGCCTGTCAGGGGTGAAATGTTGACCACAGGACTATTAATTGTTCAGTATTTCCTTGGTTTTTCTTATAATGGATCATTCAGATGTATATTTTAGCACAATACGTTTCTGTGGATGTCACCGCATCAGATAAGAACCGCTTTCTCTCCATCAGTTTATTTGTCATAATTCGTCCAGTCTGTGGAGTTTGTTGTGTGTTTGAGCTGAATCATATATGATCCATCCTGCTGAGGATTTAGATGTGACGCAAGCATCAGCGGATTACACACACTCACACACACTCACTCACTCACGCACTCTCACTCACACGCCCACGCACTCACACGCACTCACACACACACACACTCTCTCACACACTCACACTCTCTCTCACACACACGCACTCACGCACTCACACGCACTCACACTCTCACACACTCACACACACACACACACACACACACACACACTCTCTCACACACTCACACTCTCTCTCACACACACGCACTCACGCACTCACACGCACTCACACTCTCACACACTCACACACACACACACACACACACACACACACTCTCTCACACACTCACACTCTCTCTCACACACACGCACTCACGCACTCACACGCACTCACACTCTCACACACTCACACACACACACACACACACACACACACACTCACACTCTCTCACACACTCACACTCTCTCACTCACACGCACACACTCACACTCTCTCACACACTCACACTCTCTCACACACACACTCTCACACACACACACGCACTCGCACGCACGCACACACACACTCACACGCACACACGCACACACGCACTCACACACGCACTCACACGCACTCACACACACACACTCACACTCTCTCACACACTCACACTCTCTCACACACACACACTCTCACACACACACGCACTCACACTCGCACGCACACACTCACTCGCACACGCACACGCACTCACACGCACTCACACACACACACACTCACACACACACTCATACTCACGCACACTCACACACACACACACACACACACAAACAACCAGATTCATACGTACACATATACATGCATTTATACATGCTCACATATTCAGTCTTATG